AAACCCAGCCCCTAAACTCTAATTATTTTGTTGCTACGCCCTCTAACTGGTTTATTCCTGGGATGCCAGCAGTAGTGCTATGGCTGGGAAATGCTTAACCAGCCAGAAAAAAACCCAACAAACAACTTCTTGTTATTGCTCTGGTTAACTATTCTCCTGCCCAGCTCTTGCCTCCCGCTCTCTCCTCTGTCCCGTTCCTCTCCTGCCCTGTCCCCAGGGGCTGCCTGGGAGTTGCTGAGCATCACCCTCCTCTCTCTTTGCTCGCAGCTGGACAAGGGGGATGTGACCGCACTCAGCCTGCCCTCCACCGCCGGGCACAGCGACGCCGACGGCACCGTCTGCCTGGACGTCCCCGATGGCACCCCTGACCCTCACAGGACAAAAGCCGCCATCGAGCACCTGCACCAGAAGATCCTCAAGATCACCGAGCAGATCAAGATTGAGCAAGAAGCTCGGGATGACAACGTGGCCGAGTACCTGAAGCTGGCCAACAACGCAGACAAGCAGCAAGCCTCCCGCATCAAGCAGGTTTTCGAGAAGAAGAACCAGAAGTCGGCGCAGACCATCGCGCAGCTGCACAAGAAGCTGGAGCACTACCACAAGAAGCTGAAGGAGATCGAGCAGAACGGCCCTTCCCGGCAGCCCAAGGATGTCTTCCGGGACATGCACCAGGGTCTTAAGGATGTGGGTGCCAACGTTCGCTCCAGCATCAGCGGCTTCGGCGGTGGCGTGGTGGAGGGCGTCAAGGGAGGGCTCTCCGGTCTGTCCCAGGCCACCCACACTGCCGTGGTCTCCAAGCCCCGGGAATTCGCCAGCCTTATCCGGAACAAGTTTGGCAGCGCGGACAACATTGCCCACCTGAAGGACACGTTGGACGACGGGCACCCGGAGGAGGCTTCGCGGGCTCTCAGCGGCAGTGCCACCCTGGTCTCCAGCCCCAAGTACGGCAGCGATGACGAGTGCTCCAGTGCCACCTCCGGCTCGGCTGGTGGCAGCAACTCAGGGGCAGGACCCGGTGGCTTGGGGAGCCCTAAGTCCAACACACTGGACAGCCACCACAATAACTTCGACACCATCCTGGAGGAGCTCCGGGAGATCAAGGACAGCCAGTCACACCTGGAGGACTCCATGGAGGACCTCAAGGCCCAGCTGCAGCGGGATTACACCTACATGACGCAGTGCTTGCAAGAGGAGCGGTACAGGTAAGGACAGGCGGGTGGCAGGATCTGTCAACCCAGGGTGGCTTTTTGGGGACCACGAAGCCACCATCCTGGGTTTGTCCAGCTAAGCCCTGCATGCCAGGGACATGGGGAGCTGCAGTCCTGCTGCCCTCCTCGCTGCCAGACCCCCAGCAGCACCGCTGCCGTGGAGAATCATGCAATGCTCTCCCTTCATCAGCCATAACCAGCCTCAGCCCAGAGGGGGGTGGGTTGGAGGGACCGGGTGGTTCCTCCAGTGTGAGGGGAAGGAGGGCAGGGGGGTACGCAAGGGGACCTGCCCACCCCAGTGCCCCTCCACCCCCATGTGCAGGTACGAGCGCCTGGAGGAGCAGCTGAACGACCTCACGGAGCTGCACCAGAACGAAATGACCAACCTGAAACAGGAGCTGGCCAGCATGGAGGAGAAGGTGGCCTACCAGTCCTACGAGAGGGCACGGGACATCCAGGTAGGGGAGTGTGAGGGCTCAGCGCCCCGCTGCACCCTCCATCCATGTGGTGAGGGAGGGACGCTGGGCTGGAGGGTGGGCAAGGGGGATCCCTTTCTCTAGCACCCTGCAGATGAAGTCCTTGCTGTGATGCTGTCATAGCAAGAAGCAGGTAACCAAGCCATGTCCCCAAAACCCTGTCTGTGCCCCAGCGAGTCCCCACTGTGGTGCTCCAGGCAGGTGGCTGTAGCACTGGGCTGGTAGGAGCCACGTGTGGGCCAACACATAGTCCCCGCTGTCCCAGTTTGAGTCATCTCCCCTGCTGCAGTAGGTGCTCCCAGCACCAAGACCTTCCCCGGCACAGGCAGAGCGGGATGGGGCATGCCGTGCACATCGCATGGGCCAAGGGTTTGCAGAGGGAAACCCCTTTCCAGCTGAGCTGGTCACCCATTGGAGCTGTGCAAGTAAAACTTTGCAGCAGCAAGGTCTCAGAGCACGGGGCAAGTACCAAAAGCCCTCGTAGGGTATCCCTCAGAGCCACTGGCCAGCCCTGATGTGTTGTCCCTCGCAGGAGGCGGTGGAGTCCTGCTTGACACGGGTGACCAAGCTGGAGCTGCAGCAGCAGCAGCAGCAAGTGGTGCAGCTGGAAGGGGTGGAGAACGCCAACGCCCGGGCGCTGCTGGGCAAGTTCATCAACGTCATCCTGGCCCTGATGGCCGTGCTGCTCGTCTTCGTCTCCACCATCGCCAACTTCATCACCCCGCTCATGAAGACCCGCATGCGCATCCTCAGCACTGCCCTGCTCGTCCTCTTCCTCTTCTTCCTCTGGAAGCACTGGGACTCCATCACCTACTTTCTGGAGCACGTCCTGCTCCCCAGCTGATCCGCAGCCTGGCCACTGCAGCCCCGGGGGCTTTCCATTTCCCACAGAGGAGGGGGCAGGTGGAACAGTGGTCCAAAGCCTTCGGGTTTTTCCTTCACACGCTCCGTTTGGTTGTTTTCCTGGCCCTCCATCCTCGCTGCAGCCGACAGTGATCACTTGGAGCGTGGCACGTTGGACCCAGGATTCATCAGTCCTCCGGGATGTTTGGGGAGAGCGGGATGGGGAATGAGGAGTGTTTGGAAGAAACTGGTAATTTATGGGGTGCTGGGTTTTTCTAGGGGTTTGGGGTGGTTTTTTTAAATGTTATTCTGTTCTGGAAGTCCATGCAGAGCTCTTCTGTCAGTGGGAAGGATTGAGCTGGACCAAACCTGGGTCTGGGAGAACTTTCTGCAGACAGAGGAGAGCAGTTAGTTGGGGCTGGGTTTTCCCTTTCATCCTTCAAGACCAAGACAGCAAAAAGCTCAGTCCCGGGATGGAACGAAAGCAAAGCACGTGACGAAGGAGAAAGCGGGTCCACAGCAAATGCAGCAGGACATGCACATCCCACCAGCCTCTCCCAACCCCACCGCAGCCCGGCCAGGACAGAGCAGGGCTGTGACATTGTCCCTGTGTCCCCACAGGGGCCTGGGCAGACATGAAGGACCCGATGCTGGACACAGCACCGGCACAAGTGAGATCCCCTCTACTGGTTTCCCTTCATTTATTTATTTCCTCCTCCTTTGGCTTTAGTTGATCTGATCTCTTCAGGGACACCTGGACTTTCCAGCATCACACCTCTGAGTTTTACAGCCTCTGCACCGTGTCGTGTGTGTGCGTGTGTGTGTGCGGGTTTTAATTTAATTCAAGACTGTTTCCATTTGTGAATCAAAGCTGGTAGAGCAGGGGGAGGTGAGCAGCTGCCTCCCCAGCCCTACACAAGAGCACAGCATGCTGTCTGGGATGTTTCTTAAATTATTTCATACATATATATTTATGTAATATATCTATACACACACA